TTTGAAGTTTGCAAAAGAGCACCTGGATGTTCCACAGCACTACTGGCAAAATATTCTGTGGACAGATGAAACCAAAGTTGAGTTGTTTGGAAGGAACACACAACGCTATGTGTGGAGAAAAAAAGGCACAGCACACCAACATCAAAACCTCATCCCAACTGTGAAGTATGGTGGAGGGAGCATCATGGTTTGGGGCTGCTTTGCTGCCTCAGGGCCTGGACAGATTGCCATCATCGACGGAAAAATTAATTCTCAAGTTTATCAAGACATCTTGCTGGAGAACTTAAGGCCATCTGTCCACCAATTGAAGCTCAACAGAAGATGGGTGATGCAACAGGACAACGACCCAAAGCACAGAAGTAAATCAACAACAGAATGGCTTCAACAGAAGAAAATACGCCTTCTGGAGTGGCCCAGTCAAAGTCCTGACCTCAACCCAATTGAGATGCTGTGGCATGACCTCAAGAGAGCGATTCACACCAGACATCCCAAGAATATTGCTGAACTGAAACAGTTTTGTAAAGAGGAATGGTCCAAAATTCCTCCTGACCGTTGTGCAGGTCTGATATGCAACTATAGGAAACGTTTGGTTGAGGTTAGTGCTGCCAAAGGAGGGTCAACCAGTTATTAAATCCAAGGGTTCACATTCCACCCTGCACTGTGAATGTTTACATGGTGTGTTCAATAAAAACATAAAAACATATAATTGTTTGTGTGGTTTTAGCTTAAGCAGACTGTGTTTGTCTATTGTTGTGACTTAGATGAAGATCAGAACACATTTTATGACCAATTTATGCAGAAATCCAGGTAGTTCCAAAGGGTTCACATACTTTTTCTTGCAACTGTATAAAGAGACATTCTCCTAGAAAATCAGCTAGGAGAATGTCTCTTTATGCCAGGTTATTTTACCTTATTGAATAATAACATGTAAAAACAGCTTTCGATCATATGGATTATATAAACTTACATTGTAACAACTCTGAAACCTCAACATCTTACATTGCAGATTCCAAGTATGAAGTGCAAATGCAGGCTAACAACCAACACAGTTTGTGGCCCCAATTGAACATAACTTGTGCACAAAAAATACAGTTTTTATTATATTCAGACTATAAGGTAAGCTTGAATGTTTTATTACTTTTTAAGCAACATACATTTGCAATACTACCATTATTAGCACATACTGTACTATCAATGCTATATTTTATTCTGTATTGCTGTTTTTAGTCCTCTGTGTATCTTTGTTTTGTTGTGTATGAGAAACTGGAAGCCTTAATTTCCCTCTAGATCAATAAAGCATCTATCTTTTAATGTACTGAGATGCACAGAAATAGTAAGCTACAGTAAACGGTGTAAAGGTATATATTTCTATACAGTACTTGGCTTTGCTGGATGGAGGTTGCATGCTCGGCTCGAGGACCCTATACTGATCCATAATCTTCTCCACCAATTTCTGCTTCTCCCGACGGAGCTCGCTCAGCTTCTCCCTGAAGGAAAACACACAAAGCATCAGAACAAAGCAGCTGAGTAGGAAGGCCTGCTGGATTCAGTTCATGCATTCGTTACCCGTTGATTATTGCGAGGCTGATGGCATATGAATCACCAAGTTCCTGTAAACTCACTACAGAGAAATTAAGCCTGCTGTGTTGTTTTTTTTACTAGATTCTCTTTAAACCAACAAATCACAAGAGAGACTGTGTGTGGAAGGTAATAATAATAATAAAAATAATCCAATTTGTATGACACCTTTAAAAACAGTGTACAAAGTGCAACAGCAGGATACACGGCTAAATAACAACAGAAAAGCCGAATAGTGAGGCCAAATAAAACTATATAAATGTAAGATACTATTATATAAAACAATAAAAACATGTAAATCAAATGAATCCAAAGAAAAATAAAAGAAGCAATGTCAAGATGTTGAAAATGTGTGGCTGTTCAGCAGAGGGCTCAGAGATTGAGCTGTGGTGTGAGGACAAACAAAGCAGGACTTTGATGAGAAATAGCATGCCACAGAAAAGATGGCTTGGAAAAAAAAAGACTCAACAAAAGTCTGACAGTATAAGCTGACCGCTGGTTACTGACGCACAGCAGTGAGCGGAAAAGATCAGGAAGGTTATTCAAGGTGAGCAACGGTCAGTACAAAGGCTCGGGTACATTTTTAGCCATGCTAGCGGCATGAATCTAGGGATGACATTTGGTCCGTTGTTCAGCGAGTACACCGCTGTGGTCAAGACTGAAATATTATACTATTGGAAAAATACTGAAATGATACTGAACAAAAAATACTGTTGTGGACAATAAGAAAGCAGGGTCTGCACCATAAAGATGATTTCCGGTGCCATGCCTTGCCATAAAACAGAAGACACATCTTTTGTATATTACCCATTCACATGTTTAAGTATCACACATGGCATTTTATGATACTGTATTAACTTATGTATGTTTTAACTAAACACAGAAAATCGTTTTGATTGTTTTTAGCCAGACTTTTCCTGTAATGAAACGATGAGATTTTCATTTGTGGTTTTGAGGAAGATATCTAATTCATAACACTACTGCACTTACATGTAATGTTTACTGTTTGGATGAGTTTCCGTTAACATTAATGCAGATTGCACACAAAAAAATTGCAAAAACATTTGGATATCCTTCTTTTATTTCTTTTTACCATATATCTGCAATGCAAACTCACAGGTGTGTTTCTATGATATCAGGTATCAGATATCAATTAGCATTTGTTAGCACACGCTAAACTAAGATGGTGAACATGGTAAACATTATACCGGGTAAGTATTACATTTTTAGACTCCTTATTTCGTTTTCTGATAGGTAAGTCTAGTTTATTGGATGTTTTTTTATTGAATAAGTTGGCCATTAGCGCTTTTTATTTTTTCTCCTAACATCTGTTCTGGATAACCTCTTCAAAAATCGAGCAGCAGATGAGGATCTCATTTATTAAATACGTTTTAAAAGTTTGATGAAGCTCTTTCGAAGGCTTATTCGATTTATTTCATGAAAGTTTATGAGGCCTCCTCACATGTTTGCTCACTGAATTCAGAACATTTCCTGCAACATTAAACTTGGAAGGACAAAGTCACTGCCTCATTTGCTCTGCGTCACTCACAACAAAGTGACTTCGTAAATCAAACATCTAAACTGTCTTTTGCACTTCCCAAGGTCTTAAATATATATTTGCCAGACACTTCACTTTGTGAGTCTTTAAATCAGCAGAGTCATTGGACTGTTGTGTCATACTGTTTGTTATTTTATCTTTTCATGATGAACTTGTCTTTAAGCTTCTCATTCCACTAAGGGACACAAATAAAAAGCTGAAAATAAGCCTCAGTCAGACTCAGTTTGCCTTCACCTCATTCTTTATTTCCTGTTTTTTCTAAGCTAGGCAAACTGCAGGTTAAAAAACAATAACATCCAGCCTGTTTGGATTTGTGTCCTGGTGTTAGTTTGGATTACATTCTCAGTCCTAATGAACCACACCGCAGCGCACTTGGCTCTGAACAGAGACCTGCAGTTTGTGCTCAAATAACCAGAACTGCAGGAATAAACACTGCGGTTTATAAAAGCACAGTATACATTTGGTTTTGAACTTCAGACACTGGGGTGATAAAACTCTAATCTATTCATTCAGAAAATAAATGCTGCTCAGTGAATCTTTTGATATTTTCTGTTAAAGCTTTTAGAACAAGCATAAAACCTTTGGGTACTCAGAAATGGTTTCAAGAGCCTGACAGATTTTTATTTATTTTTATTTTACTTGAGAACAATTACAAATGTATTCCCACAAAACACCACTCTTTTTTAACAAGTTCGAATATTTTTTTAATTAATAATGAACAGTGGGACTGGAGAGAGCGACACTGGATAAAGTCTGGTTATCCAAACAGGATAAAAGGGACTCACCATCATGACATCAAACATTACAAGGAAAAATGCATCGCCATAAAAACATACCTCTGGTATGTATTTGACAAGTACTCTCTAGGATTTTCTTTTTGCATCTATTCATCTCAAGGTGCTCTCGAATGCCAGATTTTCACATCATTCAGGCTTTTACCTTACAGGGTGAGCAACACTTTGTCTTTTACAAAGTTCTGAATTTACAAACTATAAGCAATAACAGGTCTGTTGTCCTGTGTGGTTTCCAAAAATCTTTTACATTATCTTAGGAAATGCATATTCTATTAAATGCATAATGAATGAATAATTAAAAGTAGGGCATATATTAATATAGCATAATTTGGTTCAATAAACCTTAAAGTGTCCCTTAAGCAGCATTTGACTGTGGCTACAACTTTTCACAATTTGATCTCATTTTTCTTTATTTTTAGTAATATTGTAAATGTTAAATATTAATGTCCCAGTCCTAGCGGATTTCTTCCCTACGCCATCCATGCTTATTTTGGTACATTTTGTTTGGGGCAGGAAAAGCCCAACACAAAGAGTCGTCATGGCTGTGAACTATAGGCAAGTCCCTCAAATCTGCAGACATGGGGACTCACAAAAGGTCCGATGTTTGTGTTGAAAAGCATGAATCAGAGCCCTCATGCACTTGAACATTTGACATCTGGACAGCCCTGAGCCCTCGCACATTTAGCATGAACGCGCCTAGAGGTCGGAGCGTGTGGAGTTTAGGATTGTTCCCTTGAAGATCTTTCCTACAGTGAACAGCAAATCCTGTCTCCTTCTAACACAGTGCTTAATATTTGAAACCCCTTACTCATCGTGTGCTTCGAGCTAAACATATCTAATTCAAAAAACATTTTAGAGCAGAGGGAGCTGAAGAGTTGGGTGATGACTACTAACAACCCTTTTTCAAAGACACCTGTAGTTATTGGATCTATTTGAAAATATTGATTAGAGCAGTTTGAACTCCTCCCTCAGTTTGCCCAATGTTCAGGTGTTAAGATGTAAATTGAAAGAGATAAAAAATCTCTGCAGATAAAAAATTAGACACAGTAGGCTACACAGTAAGCCTTTGATGTTGGATCACCAGTACCCCATCTTGGTAAAGGTAGTCAGTTTTTATGTGAACAACAAGTTTACATGTGTTGCTTCTCACCCAAACACTTTTTAAGACCTAACAATTAAGTTGTAGTACAACTCATTACTCGTAAAACATTCAAAGACAAATTAATATTTGATTCCATGAATCTGGCGGACAAAAACCACCAGATTCAGAGACAGTTTCATCCCACAGGCAATAAGACTGTCAAACACCTGAACTGTTGTAATAACATCCATAACATTCATCTGCTGCTTAGTAATTATTTATCTTATCTAATATATCATTCCAATAGCTTGCATATAGACTCTTATTTCACTATTTCACTTTTTTTAAACAGTTTTTCTCTTTGTATTTACTTTTTAATATTTACTTGCACTATATTTTTCTGTTTTTCTGTATTATTGTGTTGCACTGTTGGAGAAGCCTGTGACCTAAGATTTTCATCGACATAACTACTCTGTAGCTATGTTCGTATGACAAATAAAGAACCTTGGACCTTGAACCTAACAGTTATATATTTTGACCTTGCATAGTTTAAATCCATGTTTACTAGCTTTTCAGTGTCTCCTTGCTTTTCGATGGTAGATTGTTATGTGTTTTACTAGTTTGACTTTGCTAGGTGCATTACTGCCATTAATGTGGATCAGAACAGTATGCAGTTATATGTGTCCAGACATTGTGAGCTCTTGCCCATGTATTGTCTGTCCTCCTATATCAATAAGATTAAATAAAATGTAAATCCACTCCATGAAACATTCCCCCATAGCACTATTTATGATTTATATTAAGTACCCAGAGTGACTTTGACCTTCAGCTACTTAAAGTTGACCCTAAAATTATTCTTAACAAGCTTAAAAATCAGAAAAAACTATATTTTTGTACGTTATCTGTATGAAATCTGCAACATCTGTTTGTTCCACTCACTGAATTGATATCCTGCAACAATTTACATATATTAATCAAACCAAAATCCAACTTTACATCTTGGATTCTTGATTATCCTGTTAATCCCAGTTTGCAATGTGGATTGATTTTAATTTGTGTGATTTATTCCTTTGTTTATTATAATAACTGTGCCGATCTGGAATATGAAATGTGAACATGGCTGTTTATCATTCAATTGTATCGGAGAGCCACCAGTCGATAATCCTGGTGGTGGGGTGCTGAATGAAATGTGTGTTCATTAACAGTGACATCTTTATCAGTCATTAAAGGGGGAGAAATAACCCTTTACGAAAAAAATATCTCTTCCAGAATAAAAGTAAAAAGCTACAAACAGATGACATTTTCGAGAAATATGTCTTATTAAATTCAGAGGGTGAAACCAGTTTAAATCTTGGATTAATCTTTTAACAGTCATTTCAAAAGGCCTCCTGCTGGGTGCTGTTAGACTGTGAAATTGTTGTCTCAGTCTCAATCTTTTCACAAGTGCTTTTATGTCTTGGAAATAAATAATAACTGTTGTTTTCCACAATATTGTTGACACACATATCTGATTCCCTGTTCAATACTGTATGCTTCAGTTAATTGACAATAAAGTAAATGCAAATAAATATTACTATTATGTATATAGTGCTAATAATACGGCGTATTTTATTATTTTGAGTATTTTTCTTACCGTTCCCCAAAGTAACACGAAACGTAATGTAATTCATTTGCAAAAAAATCCGATAAACAAAGTTAAAGACAAGCTAGACAGACTTAATCTGGACTATTGTGCATGTGTGTGTGCGTGTGTGTGTGTGTGTGTGTGTGTGTGTGTGTGTGTGTGTGTGTGTGTGTGTGTGTGTGTGTGTGTGTGTGTGTGTGTGTGCGTGTGCGCGTGTGCGTGTGTGTGTGGGTGTGGGTGTGTGTGTGTGTACTGACTGGTACTCCGTCTGCTGTGAGTAGTGCTGGTCCCGGCGCTCCAGGCTCTGCTCCATTAAGGATCGGTTCTCCTTCAGCAGACCCTGGTTCTGCTCCGCTAACTGTCGGTTCTCCTCCTCCATGTTCCCCTTTAACTGGGTCAAGAGCTACACACAGAACATACTTACATGTTAATACAAAATAAGGAAAACATTCAATGACTTTGTGGAATATTCCCTGAAGCTATTACTTGTGATAAATAAACAGATATGAGGTCAGTTTTGATTTGACTGCCACACAAATAAATAAATAGCTTGTTGAATAAAACAAAAACCATCCTTTTTTCTTTAACAAATTAAATATTGAACTAAACTGGCATTAATAAAACAAGAATGATGGTTATATTTTAAAGTGCAGTTTTCCACTTGTACTCTATATCAACTGACTCATAATATACCAATACTACAGCCCATTTTTACACTAACCATTCAAGTAGAGCAACAGATGTTAAAGACAGACAAAACACTATGTATCTGTATAAATATCATTTAAAGTTGAAAGACATTCATCATCAATATAACTGAAAAAGGTAAAGATACTCAATAGTTGATGACTGAACTGCTAGAACATTGGTCTAAAAATAAAAACTGAATAATAAAACCTGACAGAAGTGTGAAGCAAGGTGTCAGAGCTCACCGGAGCGACTGAAAAGCACATACACAGAAAGTGCCTTCTTATAAATGACCAAATAATGAATTCAGCTGCTCTACAAGCTGTGTGAACAAAACCAGAGCAGTGAGAGTTTTTTAAAGATGGTGTTTAAGGCAGAGCTAACATCCAAGGCTAACACACTGATCCACAGCATCTAGTGTATAAAATCACTAAGCAGTGAGAAAAGTAGAAAGAGGGCATGTTTTTCTACATCTGAGTAAATGTCTAAGCTTAGAAAACTTAGGAGGTATGGCCACACCTGTACATGGACATCTCTCTTGATTTACTATTTGGGAATTTGTTCCAATTATTTAGCCTACTTAGCCGCAATTCATTAAGATGTACTTCAGTGAAATGAGTTAGCAGAGTTGCTGAAACTGTGGGACCGAACAGGCTCCAAACTTTTTGATCAAAGCAAAACGTTTTCATTTCTTCACTTCACAAAACAGCATAATGAGAAGCCTGGGTGTCTGATTACCAGGATTAAACCTAATACCTACAGTATAACATTGTGGGGTGCTGAATATTTAATATGCATTATCTGAGGCACACTGGAACGCTGGTACATTTGAATTAAGGGACAGTTTGGATAAAGAAGTAATTTGGGGGGAAAATGTATACAAAATGAACCTAGAAATGATGTAATTGGTGATTTACTTTTTTAGTCAGGGACCATATACAACAACATTAATCTCACATAAGGAGAAGAGATACTTTTAATTTAGCTGCTTGCTAATTTACATCTGTGGTCCCTGGGCAGGTTTAAAATTGATGAGACGATTTGGCTCATCAGACTCAACAAGGAATGCTTATTCTGCATTTTTAAAATGTTCTTGCATTAATTTGCTTCTGGTTAGTAATTTAAAGGAATAGTTTCACAGTGTGGGAAGCAAGAAGAAAAACTCTCAATTACAAATCTTTCTGCAATTCCACAAATATGGATGGATGGATTTTCCGATACAGAGGGCTACTGGTATTTCAGAGCCAGGGTCAGCGTACTTCAGTGACGTAAAACACTGATGAGTCAGACAGACTAGACCGAACCCTCTTCCCCTTCACTCTCTCTGCTATCAGGGGATGGAGGGGGCTTCTCTCAGAGGCATGGAACAAATCAAGCTCCTGCAAGCTTGTGATTAGCAATTAGCTTAGCATAAAGAATGAAATCAGAGCCCACCTACAAGCACCTTTAAAGCTCAATGAATAACAAACTGTATTACCTTTGTTTTCTATGTGTAAAACTGAAAACCTTTTGTTTATGTACGGTTAAGTTTTTTATTTATTTGCCAGTTGCAAATTCCTTGAGATGGTTGCCTGGTAACTGCTCAGAACCAAAAAGCATTATCGCAGATAACCTGCTGTGAAACCAAATTGAGATACAATGTGGTCATTTAAAAGGTTTAGAAGTGCTGGTAGGAGCATTTTATTACCATTGTTTACAGCCTCTATGCCAAACAAAGCTAAGCTGGCTCAAGGTTAATCTTTTTCAAATATACATAATTAAGATATTCATATATATATTTACCCAACATTCAACTATTTGTAATAACTTGATGGTAATGATCCAGAAACCTCCTGCTGTTCTTACTGCAGGGATTTTGTATTTCTGCTTCTTATACTTTATATCAACGGGCCAAAAGTCCTTTGCCAGCTTGTGATTCAGTTGGATGAAGCAGCATGATGTGACAGCTGCTGGTTGACTTCTTAAACTCTTTACAAGGAAGTCAATTTCCACCTGTTTTGTCCCTCAAACAACACTTCCCTGCTTAAAGAACTTTTTCAATATTCAGCGCATGTTTGACAGCAATACATGGAAAGATTAAGATCTTTTGAGGGCAAATAAAGCTACTTGGTATTAATTTTCTGAAATATAAAGCTGAAATGTGCTTTATGGCAGCTTCTCACAGTTCCTCCCTCTCCACATTTATGTTTAAGAGGGTACCTGAATGCCTCTGCTGTGACGCAATAAATGCGGCGTGAATACAGAAAAACTGCAGCTGTGTGGGTGCATTTCTGTGTGTGTGTGTGTGTGTGTGTGTGTGTGTGTGTGTGTGTGTGTGTGTGTGTGTGTGTGTGTGTGTGTGTGTGTGTGTGTGGTTAATACCTGGTACTGACTGGTGAGGCGGGCATTGCTGAGGTCCAGGCTCTGGTTGGATCCTCTCAGGCCGCTGAGTTCCCCCTCCAGCCGCGTCCGCTCCAGCTGGGAGGCGCTCAGCTCCCCCCTCAGCTCCGAGCCCTGAGCCAGCAGCTCCGCCTGGGACGCCAACCCCTCCTTCAGCTGGGCCTGCAGCCTGAAACACACACACACACACACACACACACACACACACACACACACACACACACACACACACACACACACACACACACACACACACACACACACACACACACACAAACACACACACACACTCTCTCTCTCAAACACAGACACACACACAAACACAGAAACAGACACACACACACACACACACACACACACACACACACACACACACACACACAGACACAACATTTACTCAATGCTGGCACTATCATGTGTCCTGACTCTTGAAAAGTGTTGTGTATGATTTGTTTGCTCTTTAACTGAAGCTCATTATTATATTATAAGTAACATAACATGAGGAGTCCTCACAAAGCTACACAACAACAACAGATCAAACTGACATCAGCTCATTAAAGCTAGCTAAAGAACACATTACGGGGTCACTCAGAGGTTTTAGACCATTGCTTAGAAAATATTTCTTTGTTTCATTTTGTAACGAGAACAGCAATTAGATGAGATGAAACTCTGAATGGTCACTGTGGGGGAAATTGTAATATGGTAATAGTCAGTAGTAAACCTCAAGCATTTTATCTTCCCAATGTGGATTCAAAGTGTTTTGGAATAAAACATTTTATGTTAGTTAAAAATGAACCCGCGAAAGATATTAAGGTTACTATAATAACAGAGGAAAAACTAATGAACATATTAGTTTGGGACGTTTTATCTGTATTTCTGCAAGTTTTTCTTAAACCGGGATATTTTAAGATTATCTATTGATCAAATCTGTTGTTCATTTTTTGCGATTGACAAATTGATGTATATGTAATTTCGCTGATTCAGTTAGAACATTACATTGCTCATCATGTAAAAGAAGTTGCATGGACATGCTTATTTTTTGTCTTGTACAAACTGTCATCTGACAACCAGGAGGAGGAGATCCTGTTTCCAGCTTGACAACCCATGATTTGAGACAGTCAAGAGTAATCATTCACATAAATATGACGATGAAATCCTGGTTGACTAAGTAATTAGGGTACATAAGTATCAGTATGATGATGATCATCATCATTATATACCCACTAACCTCCAAGATAAAATGTAATCAGATGCACTTCTAAGTATTTTAAGCCTCAATCAGTGGCTTGAATACACATCAGTGTGATCAAAAGGAAAAAAAAATCAGGGCTGAGACTATAACTCAACATCTAAGATGAATAAATTATTTGAGTTCAAAAGCATTATATTTTCTGCTTGTGGATGTTGTAAAATATCCAAACTACCTACACCACCATCCTACAAGTGAGCCTGAGCTCTTCATCGTATTTGTGGGTTTGCTTTATAAGTCTGTGTTTCTGTTTTGAGCCAAAAAGGTTTTAAATCAGGAATAAAATATGCATGCTGTGCACATTTGCATCCAAACCAATTCTTGTGTCGGTCCCTGTGCCTAATTTAGGGACAATAATGCTGCTGCTTGCCTATAGGTAAGGCAACAATCATGCAGTAGAGGGAGAGGCGTGAAAGGATGATCAGATCTCTCTGATGAAGCTAATTGGTGAGTGTATCTGCTACCTCTCGCTGTCTTCTTTCAGCCTCGCCAGCTCTCGCTCCCTCTCCAGCCTCCTCTGAGCCTCTGCTTCCATCTCCTCTCTCTCCATCTTAATCTCCTGCTCTCTCTCCTCCAGCTTGGTTTTACCATCCAGGAGCTCCTTGTACCTTGATATTGCAAAAATAACATTCAGCCCAACAAAAACAACAATTATGGCTTTAACTGTAGAGAGAGAGAGTGTGTATATTTCAAGGTCAGAAAAATACTCAGCAGTCAGGATTTGATGTGTTTGCAGTCTATAAAAGGGTCTTGTTTAATGCAGTGTGTGTGTGTGTACCTGGCCTCCAGCTCCCTGTGCTGGGCCTCCAGGCTGCGGGTGTTGCTCCTCAGCTGAGACTGTTTCTCCAGCAGATCCTCCAGCTCCACCTCCTGCCGCTGCTGCAGAGCCGTCATCCTCTCATGGTCCCGCCGCAGAGCCTCCATCCTGGCCACTGAATCCTCTCGCTCCCGCGCCCATACCTTGGACTCGGCCTCTAGAGCCGCACACCGCGCCTCGCTCTCACTGCAGCGCGCCAGCACCGCTGCATGCTGGGAGCTCAGGGATGCATGCTCCACCTGTGTGTTATAAACAGCAACATCAGCAGAAAAACAACAACCCATTTAAAGTTTCCTCATAGTCCCACATGCAGTATGCTAGCACTACGTAGAACTTTCACATACTGCTATAAAAAGTTACAACATAATGAAGAAGAAATATAAACATTCCAAGTACACTGTGGAGAATTCCACTGAAGTCTGAAGTCCACACACAAGTAACTCTGTGAGGCAAACACAGCATATAAGAACAATGCTAACATATTTAGCAGTTATAATGTTATAACGTTTAACATTGTAGTTTAGCGTGTTGGCATGCATACAGTATATTTGCTTATTAAACCCCAAGTACAGCTAAGGATAATAGCAATTTTAGTAGTTATCAAGCATATTATTCATAAACATAAAGTACTTGAAACTGTATAATGTTAACTTAATGGTGGCACTTGATGCATCGGTTGATGATCTACCCAAGTTCAGAATGTGAAGACGCAATGTCTTGTCCAAATAGCATGGAAAACTGAATCATTAATTAGTCTCAAGCCTGACAAACCTTTAAAAATAGATAACTAATATGTAATCTCCCTACATTAAAGTAGTCTGGTAGTCCAGAGGTTATCAATCATAAAAACTACAGTATTTTCTTACACATTGCAAGGGTATAACGATTAAACCGCATCCATTTGCTTTAATTTAGAAGGACCACATTTAAAACAATGTGGAGTCAATTGTTTCCAAGTTGAACAATGGTTTCAGCCATAGTCATTGTGACTTTCCCTGCAATGGATCAATGAAGTTGTATCTCATGCTATGCTCTTCCTCTGTGTTTGGTCACCTGTAGCTGGGTGTTGAGTGTCTGCAGACTGGTGCAGGAGTCCTGCAGGCTGAGGCCGTGCCGCCGCAGCGCCTCCAGCTGCTCCCTCAGGTGCTCACCCGTCTCCTGGGATTCAGACAACCGCGACAGCGAAGCCTCCCGTCCTGCAACCGCCACAGCTCTCTGAGGGAGAGACATTGAATATTGAGAGAGCGTCCCTGTACAGAGGCAGCTGCATCAGACACGCCTGGAAATATCCATGTCATTTGAACTACCACCTCATCTGCAGCTGACCTTTTAAAGCACTTCAGTCAGGTACAGCAGCTTTATGTGCATTAGTGTGAATCTATAAACACAGAGATGAAATTCATCCAGTGTCTAACAGTTTGCTGAAATATATAACGCATAACATGTACACTAGAAGCTCACATCTGTTGTTTACACCTAGTGCAAGATTTCGGTGGGTGTAATCTTTGCACAAGCGTTTATAATCCAATTATAAAATCTTAAAACTTATTTGTGACTCTTAACAGTGAAATCTGCTCTCATAAAGAAAGGACTGCATTAATCTGGCGTTGTGTTGGAAAGATAAAAAAAGACAATGTAGCAACATTTTTCTGAGGGCATCAAATCTGGTGTTTTTGTCCAAAATGACGAATTTACCGCTCAAAAAATCTTGGCTCTACACCCACTAAACAATGTGAATATATTTGAACATTTATCCAAGTTCTGGCACAGCAACAACGCACACACTTCATGTGTGAGTCATCTGGAGGGTCTGGAGCTCAATTCTTTGTGTGCAGCAATTCTTATTTTGTTCATTTTGGATTCTTCACATTTCCTACCGGCACCTGACTGAGTCGTTCTGCTACACCAGGGATTGTAACTTTTTTCACGGTCTTTTTTAGATTTCCTTCTTTTCTCTTCACTGTTTTCCCTTGCCAATGTCAGTAGAGGAAAGTTATTATGTACATATACTCCAGTACTGTGCTTCAGTGTTTTTTTGAGGCACTTTCTACTTTGACTCCTCTAATGCTGTTTGGAAGCTAGAGTTTGTAGTCATGATTCAGTTTAAGATACTACATTTAAAATCATACAAAGTCCTTTTAAATAAATTACTTTGTTGAACATTAATCCAATGGCTCTCAGCATGTTTGGCTTTTGAACAATCACAAAAATGGTTGTATGTTGTCACATTTCAAATGAGAAGTTAGCAGTTTGAGACTCAAATATATCCCCTAAATATTTAATGTTTTGAGCCATTTCTCAAAAAAGAAAAGAAAAGAAGAGAAAAATCAAAAAATAATTTAAACGACTGAGTTTAGGAGACTTCTTATTTTTCGTTTCTTCTCTCATTGATCATCTTGTGACACCTCAGATTTATATTTAATCTGCCCAGCTGTATATTGCGTAGTGTAAACCAGTTCCACCTTGAGCAGCCACACCATGACTTCTACGTTAATGCATCAGTATTAAATCATCTAACATCACTAACAAGATTAAATGTTACTTTTAATACTCAAAGTGAATTTTTCCTGATAAACCCTCTGGACTTTTTCTAACTTTTCTAAGAGAGTATTTTAACATTTCTGTTGTTACAGTTTTTACATTATCCTTTTCTAATCTAAAACTTAAGGTCACCTGCTGAGCAATGTATTGAAAGTCATTCTCGACCTTGCCAACGCTGGAGCTGCCCCTTGTGCTTGATGTAAGAGTTTCTGTGTGTGTGTCTGTGTATGTGTGTTTGCGAGAGAGAGAGAGAGAGAGAGAGAGAGAGAGAGAGAGAGAGAGAGAAGGTGAGAGCTTTAGAGCAAGAGAGCAGCAGACGAGATAAGGAAGATTAACAGTAGCCGAGGTGACATTATAAAAACTGATGAGCAGAGATAAAGCGGTAGTCCTGGAAATAAAGTGCTGCACTCGTGGAAGTGGAGGCCCACTGTGAGTTGATAGTCGTCAAGCACCCCTAGAGCAAGAATTTCAACATAACATAGATCATCTCCATCACACAGACACCCTGCAAATGAGATTCAAAGGCTGCTACACACATTCACGGCACTATATTCCAACGCAGATACACACCTCTCTCTCCAGCTCTATCAGCCTCTCACTCAGCTGCCTCTCTGTCTCTCCTGTGGCGAATTCCCGGGTCGTGGAAAGGTCACGACCTTTGCCAGCTGCTGGGGATTGATCCAGATGTGAGGTCTCCTGGGTGTGAGTCTGACAATTGTGCATTTGGCTAGAAGAGTCTGAATTTGAATTGGACGTAGCTTCCACTTCCGCACTTCCTCTTCTCTTTTCCAACTGGAGAAGGGATTCACTTTTCTTAAGGCACTGGGAGAGCGACTCTATTTTCTCCTGTGAGTTGTTGAAAGAATCGTTTGTCTTCTTGAGTTTGGCCTCGGCTTTTTGTAGCTTCTGGCTCAGACGTTCGACTTCAGCAGACAGTTTTTGGGAACTTGCCTGCTCATTTGATAAGTCCTGATAAGACAGAGATAAGAAGCAGCGTTCAGAGATTAGATGCTGTGGGAAATAAAGCAGTGATCTGTATCATAGAATAAACTATCATCAAAATAAGTTTAAGTACAGATATCAGTTTATAAAGTGAATCTCTGCTGTTATGATTAGATAAGGTGAAAAGATGAGTGTGGGCGAGTTTGCCATTCAATACATCCCCAGTCAGTGACTAAGTGACTGAACTACCACACACACACACACACACACACACACACACACACACACACACACACCTGGGACATTGAACTCATCTTGGCCTGAGCATCTGCGTACTGCTCCTGCAGCTGCTGTTTATTCTCCTCCATGCTGCTTAATCGAGTGCTGAGCTCCTTCTCCAGGTCCTGCAGCTGAGTGCAGAGCTCCTTGGAATCAGACAACTGCTGACACACACGCCTGAACACACACACACACACACACACACACACACACACACACACACACACACACAAGCCGCAGCAGCAGCATAGGTCAGACACAGGTTGAATAAAGAAAGAGTTGACATTAAAGATAAATGCATGGTGCAGCCAGGTAGCTCTCTGATGCATTGTAAAGTTAATTGCATACCTCAGTTTTAGATCAAGGTTAAGTGTGTGAACAGGAGTGTTTGTGTACCTGTGTTCGCCTTCCAGAGCCCGAGCTCTCTGGTTGCTGTGCTCCAGGGTGAGGGTGGTGCTCTCCAGCTGCTGCCTCAGCCTCGCTGCCTCCCTCTCTCTCTGCCTCCCCTCTTTGTGTTGGCCGTCCAGCTTCGCCTCAGACACCTCCTTCTCCTGCTCCAGCCTCGACGCCTCCAGCAGCACCTGGTCTCGCGCCCGCGCCAGAGATTCGGCCTCCAGGGTCGCCTCGCGCAGCTCTGCCTCCAGCTCCTCCTCGCGGCGACGAGAAGTCTCCAAACTGCGACCCTGACGTTCCACCTCCGCCCGGAGAGTCTGAGTGGTGAGCTCGAACTGGTCGCTCTGGCAAAAGAGACAAAGTAGATCATTAATACTACTTTACAAACATTCAATAATTTGAATTGTAACTGCTGAAATCGTAACTGCTTTAGTCACCAACAAACAGTAACATATCAAAGAAGAAACATGAATCAGAAAGGGTCACAAAAGACTACAAATAAAATAAATAGTTGCTCTCAGCAGAAGACGTTCAGAGCACTGCATAGCCACAAACTTTAAAAATATAGTTAAAGGCCAACAAAACGTGATGCATCTAAAAATTAGACCAATGAGACAGGCAATAAATAAGTATGAAACAGAACCTTACAATTATGTTGACAATACAACCCAAATACCAAATTCAAAAGATATGTAGGCTAAATTGTTCAGAGGAGCATTTTGGCATTCATGGAGATGTTTTCCACTGTTGTATAGTTAGGACTCTTCTTCTTTCCTTAAGTAACCTAACTTAAAATATTGTATTCAAACAGAAAAGTACCTTACAATTTGACTTAAGTATGCAGGTAATGTGAGACTAATTCCTGCCAGTCAATACTTGTACCCTGTTTCACTGACTACAGGTGGCAGAGATGTGCCAAAACACTAACAATCAAGATTTAAATATGTTACTAAAATCTGTTTGAAAATGCTTTCTATTGACAAAACTGCATTCTACATAATAATTGAGCTCAAGGTTTGAAACAATGTGTATTGATTTGTGGCACTGAATGTAAACATGAGTTCTTAGGGATATTCATTTATGCAAATGAAATCAACCTATGCAACATCTTTCATCATAAACTGAGAAAAAGTGTGCCAAAATCAATACATATTGTTGAGTACGTTTCAAAACAAAATAGTTTGGTAAACCACAACAACAACAACAACAACAACAACAACAACAACAAGAGAATGAGAATGTAGATGAGTTGTAATTTCCTGTTTGGGTTTTATTCACCCCCCCAGCTGAAAGCAGCAGAGTGCATTTCATGATTCATTTACCACGCACTGTTATAGTCTCCATTAATTCTGAGTCTTTGCTTCTCATCCTGGTGGTCAGAATATAAAGTCTTCCTCAAACATAAATGGAGAATCTGCTGTTTTATGATGAAATGAACACTTAATCTGGGGCTGACTGCGCTGATGTAAGTTATGTTACTCGTTAACAAAAATGCTGGCAAAGTGGTTCCTCCTGTTTTAACATTTAGAGAGTGGAGTGTTGTTTTAGTAAAATATAAGGAAGTATCAAGTGTTTACTATAAATCTATATGATCTGATTCCATGCGGTTGTATAGCTGGATATCAAAACATTTTTAACATTTACATTGAATTGAAAACTGCATATTGCAGAACTGAGTGTATTTGTTTATTTGTGTATTTAAGTTACTGTTGTCAAGGTACAACATCCACAACAAACACAGGATCTTCTCTGCATGAAGAGGCGGGTAACACAGTTGAATATTGCAGCATCAGAAGAAGGATTATGTACGACTCACTCTGAATGAGAGGTATTCATGAATACTTTTATGACATTTTGTTCATGCTGACTTAGCACTGCTCTTCTCCTTCGCTTGCAATTTCTCTGATGTCTTGCAATTTTACAGCAAATAGCACACTTAGCTCGTTATTCTTCATCATTTTTTTTCAGAAAATCTCAGACTTCTTTATCCGGCAATGAAGTATCTGAAAAAGTTCTTCTTTGGTTTGGCTTTTCCTTGAACCCTCATGTAGGGAAATACACTAAATAAGTTGTACCAACACCTGAGATCTCTCCTCTGACTGTGGAGGAGTTTCTTGACCATGCGTGAATATCGCGGTTCACACAGTCAAATCCACCCCCCGCTGAACAGCTTCTCCATGCAATAATATGATTAGATTTCAGATATAAATGCAAGACAAAACACATGCAAGCAAAGCCCTTATCACATATATTGTATTTAATATAGTCAAGTAGTTATCTAAAGAGATTACAAAATTAGTGACATCCGCTATTAAACAATTGAATGCATTTCTGTTACATGGGGTTTGAGATGGTTCACAAAATATCTGCTCCTTTTCATTTGCTTTGTAAATGTCTAAATCTATGCCTCTCATCCATCTTCCCTGAAGTTAAAATGACATCTGTCGTTGTCATGAAAATGTTTGGTGTCACAGCTGCATTGTGTGTGTTTGTGTGTGTGTGTTTGTGTGTTCTTTTCAACCTTGCGGTGGGCGGTGCGCAGGGCGTCCATGGTGCTGCGCAGTGTGTCCCTGTCTCTCTCCAGCGCGGCCCGCTCCCCCTCCAGGGTGGCGATGACCGTGGTCTGCATGCTGTGAAGCTCCACTTGGCTCCGCAGGCGGCACAGTTCCTCCTCCATAACAAGCCCATCCGCCTGAAGAACCTGAGAGAACAACAGGAAAACTCTGAGCTGGGGAACTGTCATCTTTTTCATACAAACACTTTAATATAAGATTTGATCTTATGGCTCACATAGATTATTTGAAAGCAACTCATGCATGATTTGCAATTGAAGGTCCATTAACTTGGTGCTATTACAAATAAATGGCGTTGGTATAATGAATTCATTTATTTTGATTAACTTATCTTAAGTAAGTAAAATAATATATGTAGGTCCATAACATATCTATATGCCAGCAGCTCATTGAGGCTGTACACAGCAGTGGTTTTCAGTTACTATGCTCACAGTGACAATGCTGACATGGCACTGTTTTAAAAGTTAAGCTTTAAGTGTAGCAAGTTACTACCTGAATTTAGCATTTTAGCAAGCTAACATTTGCTAAAACAAAAATCTGTTGCCATATATCTGGTACATTATTAGATATTTTAATGGAAATGTGAAACTTTGTAGATAGAGGAAAAGGCAGAACAGTATCATGAATGTTTGACCCTGTCAATGCAACCCATCCGGTAGTTGTTACTTCAGTCTAAAACAAAATGGTGCACAAGACAACGGTCAACAAAGTCATCTGTGGAGAGATATAACTAGCATGGCATAAAAACAAGGGTATTCCTCAGTGAATAACCAACTAACATCACAACACAACTAGATAACTCAGCTCTGCCTCTTGTCTCCATGATTACTACAACATTAAATAAGTACAAGTATAGGCTACTACTGATATGTAATTTGGTAATTCTATTTTCGAAGAAAGAATGACACAATTTACATTTACATTAGAGCGTTGAATGAAATTATTCTGTAAATTATTATAATTCAGTTCAAACTTATTTCTAAAGCTGTTAAGATATATTTTCTTCCTTTGTGTTAATATTATTGAACACAATGTGTCTTTAATTCATCCATCCAACCAGGCAAACCTCCATGATCTAAATATCTCTATTAGCACATTCTCTCCTCCCACTCATCCATGCGTACCTCTATCTGCCTGCGGGCGTCTCCCAGGCTCTCGGCCGCTCTCTTCAGACGCTGCAGCTCGGCCTCCAGGACCACCAGCCTCTGCTCTGCCTCCCAGCTCCTTCTGCTTTGCTCCCCCAGCTTGGAGCGCAGATCCTGGGCCACCATCGCCTGCCTTTCGGCCTCCTCCTGGGCCTCCTGGAGCCGATGTGTCAGAAGCTCCACATCAGGAGCAGACAGGGCACAAACAGCCTGATCTGCAACTGTAGTCTCTGTATTATCTTCTTCACTTTTGGGGTGATTTTGGATCTCTGAGTCTGTTGTTACTGAGGTTTGTTCATTCTTTATTTGTCTTTCTTTCTCCTTTTTCTCTTTGTCTTTCTGACCTCCCTCTGCCTCTCCCCTCCTTTTGGACTCGACCTCCTCATTGCATGGTTCTATGGATTCAACATGTACAATCTCTTCCCCAACTCCTGCTTCCCTCTGACTCCCAATGACTTCTCCTCTTCTCTCCCTCACCCCCGTCATCCTCACCCTTCCTTCCCCCTCTCCCCTGCAGGATTCAGAGCCCTGGACTCCTCTCTTCTCCTCTTCCTCCTCCTCCTCCTCCTCCTCCACCTTCTGTTTGTCTGGCTCCTTTACTCCTTCCTCCTCCTTCTTCTTCTTATCTTCTAGTTGTTGGAGTTTGGTCACCAGCAGTTCAAGGTGCTGCTTCAAAGTGGCATTTTCATTTTTCATGTTTTGAAACTGAAAGAAAAAATAGAAACATAATAAAAGTGAGATATTGGGATGTTTTTAAAGCTTGTTGCTTCTTAAGTGTCCTTGTGTCTTTTCTTTTGGTCCTCCATTGTATCGTTGTAACTTATTCCTATAAGGTATGACAGGTATCAGCCTTCATAAATATTGGTTTAATCTAGAGAAAATATTTACCACATTGTAAAAATAAATACGTATATTATTCATACACCATTTGTACATTGGAGCAGCTGTCAAAACTTACCGGTGATTTCTACTTATCTGGAGATCTATCTATTTGACATTTCAAACAGCCTACACAGCCTCTGTAGGTGTTTGTGTTTGAGTCATATTGAATCAGCATTCATATTATTGTTATGAAAAGTACAGTAATAACTGGTAGTTCAAACAACAACACTAAGATATATTTTTGATATCATACTATGTGACATATATAGAGCTGAATTAATTGAATATTTAATCATCTATATATACTGTATATATATATATATTATATATGTGTGTAGAGGCAATAATGATTAACCTTTTTTAGCAATAAATGTCACTTGATTGACAGACAACTAGGATTAAGATTGATGAGTGTTTAGTGGTAAAGATTATATAAGTTTTAATTTCCCCATCCCTTTAGTCTATGTTATCTGCACGAGTCAAATCTGTTGAATTAAGGTCTAAAGCTAACTTTATTCTCCTCTCAGCTCACCTCTCTGAGTGTGCCCTGGTGCTCCGTCTCCAAGCAAGCCATTTCATCCTTTGGATCTGGAGAGTCCGCCTGCAGAGAGAGGAATGGGTATTTAACTCCTCCAACTCCGGCTTTTCCCGTTTCATTTACCCCTATAGTGACGTGCCTCCTGCCTGACTTTAGTGATGCCATGTAAAGGTGTGTCTAAAGGTATTTTTTATTAAAAACATCTTCCAACCAAGACATGAACATGAGAAGTTTTAATCACAATTGGTATTATTGAGTTGGCGATGTGCTTCTGAAGTGCAGTGAAGTGTAAACTGTTATTTATTTGTTCTGAGAGTCGTAACCCTGAAACCCCTGAACCCTGACCTCCTGCTGGGCCTGCAGCTCCTCCAGTCGTCTCCTCAGCTCTGCGTTCTCTTGCTCGGCTCCGAGCAGCATCAGAGTCGAGGCCTCGCCAACCTCCACGCTCAGCGGCCTCTGATCTGAGACTGAGGGAGAAAGAAGAAAAAATAAATCAGGAAAGAGAGTTAGAAAGAGAAATGCAGGAAAATGGATATAGGAAGAGATTAACTCAGTTAATATTGATCGATAACCTGTGGGCCAGTATTACCTCAACATATGTTCTCTTATCAGTTAATTAAAATGTCTTAAATGACAAGGTGTATAGAGGAAAGTGCTCTGACCAATCAGCTCGCTCAGCTCCTCGTCAGAGTCCAGTTCCGATTGGAGGAACCGTTGGTGTAGCAGAGCTGGATCGCTGGCTCCGCTGCTGCTGTGCCTCAGGTTGGCCTCGAGGCTCATATTCATCTCCAGCAGTTCATCAACTCGCTGCCTTTCAGTGTCTCGCTCCTACACAGACAGATATACACACATACACTTTCATTCATCATGAAGTGCTACTAGTATGCCATAACAGTATGTGCACAAACTCAGATCCAGATCTTAGGATAGATTTGCGTTTCATCACATATTAAACACACACATGCATATGCACACAAACAGAAAATAAGATACATATTTAGACATATATGTAAACAAATACTCAAACATTTAATCACACCCACCGCTTCCACATCTATGATTTTCTGACGCAGCAGAAGATTGTCCCTCTCCAGCTCCCTTAGCGAGGAGCAGCGAGCCCGTGCGTCTGCCAGCTGTTCCTCCAGAAGAACTTTGGTCTCCTGCAGCGCCGCACACAGCTGCTGCTGCTCCTGCAGGGGGCGCCGTGCACGAAGAGACGGGAATCAGAAAACAGAATATATTCAGTATTCATACTATATTCAGAGCTTAGACAGATGATATTAAGAGCAAACATTTGCCAAGACAATCACATTGTTTGTCCTCTTCAGTGGCATGTAAGGACAATTTGGGTCTAATAATATCATGGCTAGCAGTTATAATACGTATTGCACACTGAGTTTAGGAAAGAATTATAACACAGCTGTAACAAAGTCAGACGGGGCAAGAAAAACAAGTAATTAGACGATGAGGCTGGTTGTAAACATGGTGATAGTTAAGCCAATTTTTCTAAAAAACTTAAACTTTAAACACAAAAAGTGAGCACACCCAAAATGCTAGTAATGAGCTAACTGATTTTCCCCTCGAGGCTTCCTTCTATTGACATCCTCAAAGTCTTAGATCTTTGCAATTTACAAGTACAATTTTGTTTTTACAGGGAGGAATAGTGGCTATGATGATGATGATTTGCATATAACTATGCAAATAAAATGAAAATACTCTAAGTGTTTGGCTGGCTTTTTCTTTTAACACCTCGCCATGTCAACATCCAACATTAGCTCCGCTGGTTTCAACAAGCACACAAGAGTTCACTGTGAAATTGTGAAAAATTAATTATAAACCAAAATGCGAGAAAAACATCATGCCGCCAGCTAATGTGGGTTGTCACAGAGATGCAGTATAAAGCCAGAATAAATAAAAAAAGACTGAGAAGGTGACAGTGAGGACACTGTGAGGTGTTTTACAAGGATATGAGCACATTTTCTGCCTCAAACAGTTATACTACCTCAGAATAAATGTCATTTGGGTGTAAAAGCTCCAATGACTGAGGACGTACTCCTGCTCTTTGTCAATGAAGCAGCCCCGGGCTTTACATCCTCACGACACCACACAATATAATCTCATACACTGTCTTTGAGAATCAAAGTTTTTCATACCCACTGATTGAAATGCTCAGGGTTGTGAGAGGGAATATATGGCTTTTAAAATAAAGTGGTACTTTACTTTACTTAAATTATAATCTTACCCAGAGAAAGAGAAGATCTTCTTGACCTTCACTGGTAATGTTCATAAGAGGTCTTCACTTGCGAGAAGTGTGGGTGTTTGTGTGTATACATGTATAAATGCATTGTATGTTTGACTGTATTTGTGTATGTGAGATTGAAATATCCAACTTAATGCCAAAACAATTTGAATGTATTTCATGGTTTCAATGCTGCCATGCTGCTTGTTTTTCTTTCTGCTGCGAATGACTGATTTAGAAGAATGTATAGTGCATGAGTAGTCTGTGTTTGTGAAAATGTGTGTGTACCTTCAGCTGAGTGCGTGTGAGCTCCAGGCTGCGCAATCTGTGTTTACAGCTCTGAAGCTCAGTCTGGAGCTGCTCGGCCCGCGCAGCTCGCTCCCGGGCGCAGTCCAGCTCATCCCGCAGTGCACGCATGCCCCTCACCTCTCCCTGCAGAGAACGGTTCTGCTCTCACACACACACACACACACACACACACACACACACACACACACACACACACACACACACACACACACACACACACACACACACACACACACAAACATGCAAGCACGTAGACACACACACACACGCACCAAACCAGTGGGGATGAGGTTGAAGAAGGTTGTGAACAGATCTGGGCTGTGCAGTACAGCAAATGTTGACAAAGTCTAATGCAGGAAGAAGGAAGATATGTGGGTTTCTTTGACTGGGTGTGCTGCATGAGAATGATATGTCCTTATAAGGGTGTTAGGGAAAAATATTTTGCTGCCTTCTTTTCTCCAAAATGTTTGTTTAAGGTGAACATTAGGACTAGGTTTGGATACTAATTAGAATTCAAATTCATTAAATCAATTCAATTGTATTGTATTCATATAGCCGAATACAACAAATTGCACATCTTTGACAGGGGGTTTTAGTGTGTGTACAGCGTTCAAGGAAAAATACCCCAAAGATACCCCACAATAAACGAGGAAGAAATGTAAGAAACCTCAAGCACAGCAACAGTGGAGGATTCTCCGAGAAAATAAAGTCATGCAATGCTTGTTGTGTGTACATTTGAAAAGAATGTACAATCCAAAATGACAAGAATTTATAATGTGAACATATATTTAAAAAAAAGATGGATTCCTGGATGATGATGTCCAAAATCTTGCAAGATAGTGGAACATTTTCAAGTACATAATTTTCAAGAAGACATTTCCCATATTTAGTGGTAGCTGCAAATAATGCCAACACATCTTGTGATTAAAAAATAAATCCCATTTTGGGATGAATAAAGTATATCTCATCTATTCTAATCTAATTTGGGATCATGGTTTAATTAATACAACCAATAAAAACATATAAGGAAATGATTTGGGGAAGTCCTCTTGTTACCCAAGGATAACTTTACTTTTGTTTTTTACTGGACAGTATACACTGTCAAGTTCAGCTGGGAAAGAAAAACTAACCACAATGCTATTCTGGATACAAATGAAGCTCAGCGTAAGTTCAACCAGGAAGACCTTCTTTCCTCATTCATTCACTATTTCCCTGTTACTACTATCTCTCCTCTCAATAAGTGATCGGGGGCGTCACTTCCGCTTAACCAATCACTTCGCTCTATTCTCAGAATCCTATCCTAGCGCTCCGCTAAACCTTTTAAATCTGCTCTCCCCTCTGACAGCTGTCATTTCAGGTGAATTGGCACAACCCTCCTCCAACCCTTCTTTCACCTCCTGTCCCTCTGAATCCAGGGTCAAGCCAAGCCACTCCCCTTCAGACCGAACCCAACTATCCTTCAGACCGAACCCAACTATCCATTCACCACCACCAGTGTCTAGACCCCGGGGGGATTTCATCGGATCGGTTCTCCCCTCCCGAATGATACACCTGCACAAAGGGGCCTAATCGCCAAAACT